AGCATATATATGTATATGTAAAGATATATATATATATATATATATATATATATATATATATATAAATATATAATAATAATAATAATAATAATGCTGGTGCTTATTTTATTTGCTGCTTTGTGTTATCTCGGAATTATTCAAGAAAGATTGGTGTTTTCCTCATGGAGAAGGTGATTGGTAGCTATTGTTAGCTTTCGATTTTACCTGACCAGGGTTAGAACTAGAAGTATGCAACCAGGCATGAATGTCTTTGAGACATGCCGGCCTACTCACTCACCACGCAGGCATTCTCATGTTTATCTATTCTGATTGAAGGATTGAATTTTCATATAAATAGCTTTTCGTTTCAGGGAAATCTGAAATGGACTCAAATGTGATTCCTGCAGCAAGTGAAGTTACTTCTCCAAGACCCTCTGGTAAGGACTAGAAGTGATATGGTATATAGACTATGGTTGCAAAACTCAAATATTTTAGGTGTTTGTTTATAAAGGGAAATAATCTACTTTCTACCCTCCCTCTCTCTGTTGAGAAAACAGTTTTAGAGAGGAACAATATTTTGTTTGTTTCTTGCACTCTTTAGTTTTTCTTGTTAATTTGTTAATAGAATTTCTGAACTGGATGGCATAACTAAACTTTTGCTCCCCCTAGTATTCCAAAAATCATCTTTGACAAAATTTTGACTCTGATGTCCTAGATTTTTATTTCATCAATATTTTCATGCTACTTGGAGTTAGGAATTAAAAAAATCAAGCCCTTCATCTGCCAACTAACTGTCCAATTCTGAACAGACATGGTGACAAAGATCTGACATGTGACAATTGATGAATTATAAATTTGGGAATTTGTGTCCAAAATCAATACTTTAGAGCATCAGGGATATGAAAATTTAGTTTGTTCCTTTAGGATAACGAGGTTTATAATCATATTGACATATAATTGCCCTTGAATATCAATTTGTTTCAAATGTATATTAATACCGGAGTAAAGTTCTAATTGTGTGTGTCAAACTTTTGAAGCATTAATTAATAGTATTGGAGAATGAAAAGTGTTTGTCAAACTTTTAATAGTGTTTGCCTATTGGTTAAATTCCATATCTTTTTTCCTCAGGATTATATTTAGCGAAGTGTATGTCATTTAATTTATACCTGGAAACTAAAATTTAGTTGTGGACATAATACCTGTCATTTTGTAAGTATATTAATTTGAAACTAATATATAATATAGGTGAATCACCTGCCCACTGGGAAAAGGTGCTCGAGGGAATTCGCAAAATGAGGTGTTCTGGAGATGCACCAGTAGATACTATGGGATGTGAGAAAGCTGGCGATACACTACCTCCTAAGGTCTAGTTCAGAATTATACTGCTGTTAATTTGATCTATGGAGAAAAGATAAGCTTTTATTTATTGATTTCTGTCTTGGAGCTTTTAAGGAAAAGTGATTACAATATCCATTTGAATAGAATATGGCTTTCCACACAACTTTTTGGGTCTGAAAAGACAACATGGTGAATGCTATTGATTTGACAAACCAATAGTCATTCATCAACCATTATAGCCATTACTCATTCAATTAGTAAATAATAAATGAGTTGATGACCAAACTAGAAAATCCTCTGTGTAGTAATTTTGTATTGAATTTGATTGGTTGGCTTGTCATAGGGTCTTTTTGTCTGATAAATTTATTTTTCTATGCTATTCTTTATAGTTGTCGTGATTACAGGGACAATGTAATTCCATTAACTTTTATAATTTGTATGAAGCATGATGTGAATAAGTTTACCCTTATCTAAATTCTTATATGTATAATTAGGAAAGAAGATTTGCTGTCCTGGTATCTTCTCTTTTATCAAGCCAAACAAAGGATCCTGTTACTCATGGTGAGTATATATGCCTTCTGAAGTTTATAGTAAAAAAGATATTGCTGATAAGTTTCCAGGCTCTTGTACAGAGATATTGATGTTCTTTTTTTTCCTTTTTTTATTTATCAAATGCCTATCACTCTTGCCTTATGGAAGTATAAGATTAGCAATTTTAACTTGCAATATGGAAACATATCTCAGAGTAGTAGAAGTTTCTTATGTTGGCCTATTGAGATGACAAATGAAGAGAAACTGAATTGACATACGAGATTATTAATGTCTAGAAAGCAATGACTTATTGTAGCTTGTTTTGGTTTGAATTGAGGCTGTCTTGGATTTGGGTAATAAATTTAATATGCTTGTGTTTGGTATTTGGTAGCTTTGCCAGTTTGATAGAAACCCTGTTACCAACATCTTTAGGTTGTTGAAAGTGGATTTGTTAGTTATTTGCAAAGAAGGCTTCTCCAAATTTGTTGTAATTTAAAGGAACATTAATAGAGCATTTCTTATAATGGTAGAAGACTAGAAGGGTGTTAACAACCACCTAAAAGAAGGCAAAGCATTACTAGAAGGAATTAGAAAGAAAATGCAGGAAATTGGAATGTCAAACATGTTTTCTTATAAAGCATGACATAACAAGTAGTAGTAGAAGGAGGTGATTATGGGAGGAAGTGTAAGTAAAAATGGATATTTTTTATATATCTTGATAAGATGATTGAATTCTGGAAATGAAGATATTGCAAATTAATTGCTATTTTAAACAAATAATTTGGCCACATTGTACTTTTTCCCCCAAGATTTGATTTACCATTTGTCTTGATGCATGAAATTCATATTTGGTAGATGCTAGAAAATGTTTGTCATGGTTCAACTACAGTTCTAGTTTACAAGTGTGTTTTTAAGAATAGGAGCAATCCAACGCCTTCTTCAAAGTGGTCTGCTTACTGCTGAGGCAATCAATAATGCGGATGAAGAAACCATCAAAAAGTTGATTTACCCCGTATGTTGCTTGTTTCTTTCAAAGTTATTGCCTCTCCTGTGATTTAAATAAGTGGCGAGTTAAGGAAGAATGCCAATTTCTTTTTACTGTTGTGCTTTATTCTATGCTGTTGTATTAATTGGACCTGTGCCTGTACTCTTGGGTACTTTTTTTTCCAGGTTGGGTTTTATACAAGAAAAGCCACTAACTTGAAAAAAATTGCAAATATGTGTCTCATGAAATACGAAGGAGACATACCTAGCTCAATTGAACAACTACTTTTACTTCCTGGCATTGGTCCTAAGATGGCTCACTTGGTATGTGTAATAGCTTTTCTAATTCAAGCAATATGATTCATTAGTTTTCTGAAGTTAATTTGTTGATGCATATTAGGTTATGAATGTTGGATGGGACAACGTCCAAGGAATATGTGTAGATACTCATGTCCACCGCATTTGCAACCGGCTTGGGTGGGTCTCAAGATTGGGCACAAAACAGGTTCCTTTAAGTTTAGCAGCTTCACATTTTATGTATGGGGCATTATTACCTAATTTATTGGTTCTCACATCTTGGCGTTGGTGCAGTTGTAATGAACTTCATTAGATTAGCCTCTTCTAGGAAAAAAGTTTGTGCGAACATAAGCCTCTTCTAGGAAAAAGTTTGTGTAAATTATGTTCTACACATCTGCGTGTGTGCACATATATTGGTATATTATATTAAGGCATATTCTTTTGTTGATCTATGTTAAATTTGATGATCAGAAATTATCACATTTATAGTAAGTAGTAACCAAAACAAAAGAAGAAATGGTCACTTTATAGCATGCCTGAAATTATTCAATATTAGTTTGCAACAACAAATCAGCTCTTGCAAACTGTCTTGGATTGTTTCTTTTATCACTGTGTTCCTAAAAGGTCACAATTGAAAGTTATGAACCCTCTTCAATTTGCTAGAGAACTTCGACACCTGAAGAGACAAGAGAGTCACTGCAACGCTGGCTTCCAAAGGAAGAATGGGTTCCAATAAACCCTCTATTGGTATGTCAACCCATTGTCAAAGTCCTACTTGAACAATTTGCTGTTATAATCGAGTTTTTTTTTTAAAGCAACAAAATATTAATATATATTTACGTGATACCAGTAGTGCTCTTGAGATTTACAAAACAGCGGTAACACCCAATGATTATAGGCTATATACATCCAAGATGATACATATCCTTTTCATTATTCATACAAACTTTTTTCAATATTAGTTTTTCTTTTATCTCTCATCATTACATCAATCATCTTATTGTACAAATTTTTTGCTCTACTATAATTTCTTGTTATAATTTGCTATGTTTGGCTATTAGTCGATTTTATACGGCAAATTAGTGCAAGACAGTTAATAGTATTTTACAGTTATGTGTGGGGGATTCGTGTGCCAACCAAAGACAAGAAATTTTCATTTTATTTTCTGTCCAACATTTTGCTTCTTATTTGTTACAAGGTAAATTATGTAGCATCATATGTTGTGGCTTGAATATAAACAGGTAGGATTTGGACAAACAATTTGTACACCTCTGAGACCTCGTTGTGGAGAATGTGGTGTAAGAGAGTTATGCCCCTCAGCCTTCAAGGAGACTTCAAACTCAAGCCCATCTTCCAAGTCCAAAAAGTCTGGACTCAACAAGAAGCTTTAACATGGACCACCCCAAAAAACACATGAAGCTTTAACCATTTTTTTTTTTGGATTTGGGTTCCTTTTTTTGTCACAGGTTTAAAATGAACGACTCCTAGTTCTCTGTTCTAACATGTACATACATATTGCTAAGTACTGTTATTATTAGGCTTACATTGCATGCAACCCTTCACCTAGAGGTGTATATTTTTTGAAAAAATAGTCGTATTCACCGTTGGATGATCTGAAACTTGGTGGCTTTTATAAGGATTGATTTTTATATTTTTGCCATCTTTATTTTTTTAGTTTTCTTTTTGGCTGATTCAATGTTCATTGATTATTATCGAGATTCTAGAAATTGAAGGATATGCAGATTTTCAATTTTATATAAATATAGCCGTTATTTTATTAAATAATTTTTTTACACAATGCTGTAGATTGCTCTAAACAGAAAAGAAAAAAAAAATGGTTTGTAAATATAGTGTAGAAATATTAATACATCAAAGTTTGATGTGGGACGAGCTTTTGTTGATAGTCTCTTTGCTCATAGAAGTCAGGTTAATTATATTTTATTCTGGACTCAGATTTTACTCTGATTTGACTCGCGCATTGAACTACCCTTGTAATAATTTGTCATTAAGCTAATTAATTATTCTCTACTTAATGATATATTTAGCAATAATTCACTTTTAATGTTTTTCAAAATTCATTGAGGTATGTTTTACGTTAAATTATTCAGAATTAATTTAAGATACTGGTTAACGTGATTTAAAGGGAATATTCATATTAATTTTACATTAAGAAATTGACTTTTTAGGTTCAAAATTAATCGAGTTAGAATAATGTGTTGGATTGAAAACTTTATACAATTTTTTACTACTAGCTTATTTTTAGAATAAAAATATATAAATCTAAATATAAATCACTTTATTTAAAATTAATTCTACAAATATTTACTCAAACAGTAAATAAATTCAGAGCTAGCGTATAAAATAAATGAAGCAGGACGCCGTTCTGGGCCTTTCTGTTCTTTAGATACAGTCCAGTGGTAGCATTCAATTCGTTGGGCCCAATACAGTTCAGTGGGCCTTTGTAACCCGACCCGAATAAGGATTCGGATCGGGATACTGGTGACTCGGTGTTCATCTCGTGTTTTGTTTCCATTTGCAGTGAAGGAGTTGAGCATAGAACGAGTTTGGGAAGTGTTGGTTACTTCTCAGATTCTGTTCCTTAGAAAGAGAGAGTGTGCGATGACGGTAGCAGAAGG